CCAGGGGTGCTGGCACCCACAGGGACCTTCTGACAGCATGAAATGGGAGCAGGGACTGTTCCCATCCTGCCATGCCCCTTCTCCCTGCTCCCAGGAAGGGGGACCCCGAAAGGAACCTCAGGAGTTCCAGCCCAACCCTGTCCTGCTGGGCTGATCTGTAGGGTTTGACCTGAGAGGTCTGCTTGGCTCAGAGAGTCAAAGAATCATGGAGGGGTTGGGGTTGGGAGGGACCTTTAAAGCTCATCCATCCCACCCCCTGCCACGGGCAGGGACACCTTCCACCAGCCCAGGTTGCTCCAAGCCCCATCCAACCTGGCCTGGGACACTTCCAGGGATCCAGGGGCAGCCACAGCTTCTCTGGGAAACCTGGGCCAGGGCCTCCCCACCCTCAACCTCACAGGGAAGAATTCCTTCCCAATATCCCACCTAGCCCTGCTCTCTGGCAGTGGGAAGCCATTCCCTGTGTCCTGTCCCTCCAGGCCCTTGTCCAAAGTCCCTCTCCAGTGATTCCTACCCCCACACACCTCACTTACAGGAGAACTACTTATGCAAATCATTCAGTCATTTCTGCCTGAAGTCTGTGAACAATCATGTTCATACAAAGCTATTAATATCTATAAAGAAACTTAAGAAAAATTGTGAAGAACTTGGGGGTTCTGGTGCCCCTGTGCCTGCCCAGCCTCTCTGCAGGGAGAAAAACCCTTTGGGACTCACTGCAATTCATCTTCTCACCTTCCCAGTGTCTGCCTTGACACCAGGAGCAAAATGCCTCTTCCTTTGGGAGACGTGTGTGAGAAAGGGCATTTATGGGTCACAGAGGGTTTTTAACACCCTCCTGTGGGACAGGGCTGATAGTGGAGCGCCCAGGAACGTGGCTGAAGCAGGATTAGGGCAGAGATCCTGGGATAAATAGCTTTGCCCAATGTTTCCCCTTAAAAAATGAGCGAGTCCCTTCAGTTCCCCCCCGCTTTTGCTGCGTCACCGTTCAGATGGTGCTTCCCATGCCAAGAACAAGCTCTGCCCAGATGAGTCCTGCTCTGCAGGCACCCAAAGCCACCCAACACTCCCCGTGTGCAGAGCACTGATCGATCCTCACATCCAGAAAATGATGAAGTCTCTGCCCTTGGCAGGATTGGACCCCCCCAAACTGCAGCGTGGGCGGCTCAGGGTGGGAGAGAAGTGAATAAACAAGGTCTGGACAGGCCTTGATAGCAAAATGTTTATCTCAAACCTGCCCCCACCCAGCTGGCTGCTGGGCCAGTGTGACTCAGCTGATTTTGGGTGGGTTTGATGCCAGCGATGAGCCAGGGAAGATTAAAGTCTTCAATTTGTTTATCCTTCTCCCCCTACAATATGAATCCTCCCAATTCCCCTTGTCTGGGAGAGACATGCAGGTTTCACAGTAAAATTCCGAGTAGTTCCTCAGTGCAGACTCCCCAGCGTGTGACCCCGGGGGTGGCAGGGCTGGACCAACCCCATATCCCCAAAGCACAATTCCCAGAGGCAAATCCCACACAAACCACCGAGCCCACACGCGGCAGGGGCAGGGGGGATTTTCTGGGACCCTGCTCCCTCTGCCACCCCAGCCCCGTGCCCGTGTCCCCCCAGCCCTCCAGCCCCTCAGGGACACACAGACTCGGTGAAGGCTTCACAGGATGAGCTTTATTTGCTGTTGGAAGCGGCTCCGGGCGGCAGCGGGCGCGGGGCACGGGGCTGCCGGGGTTTCCTGCGCTGCTCAGTGGTACTTGCGGGCCAGGGCGTGGGCCACCACACGCACCAGCTTCTGCCAGGCAGCCTGGCAGTCGGGGGTGAAATCCTTGCCGAAGTGGGCGGCCAGGACGATGATCAGGATGTCACCCAGGAGCTGGGGGGACAAGAGCACACTCAGGTCAGCAATGCCCCACACAGGCACTCACATTACACCCAGGGAAGCCTCCAGGAAATTTGTAGCCTTGAAAACCCCCCTGAAGTCCTTTTTAAGATGCACCTTAAAAGGTCTCTGCTCTTACTCCAAAGGTTCAGGTTCTGATACCCTCTGAGAAGAGTAACCGAAAATTCTCAAGAAATTGTGTTGATTAAATTTTTCTTTCTTCCTTCAGTCTCTGTTTGGGAGTTTTTCCCAAGCAGAAGACCCAGCTGAGCTGCCAGCATGGCAGGGAGCTGGCACTGGGCACCTCAGAGCACCCTGGCACAAACAACGAGCTCATGCTGACGTGGGGGGATCTCTGCCAGCCCCGAGGACAAATGTCAGGGTTAATTCCCCACTGGGGAACTCTCAGCTGCACAAATACAGGAGCCAAAGCTCTCTTTCCTTCTAGATCCTCTTTTGCTTTTGGCATCCAGCTCTCCTCACTCATCTCTCCCTTCTCCTCCATGCCAAGCTTCACTCTTGCTCCTTGGCTTTCCCCTTGGCTCAGACGTCCTTCTGTTAACAACTGCTTTCTCTTTGCTCTCCCTCTCCCTTCCTGCACTGAAACCACCTCCTCAACCCCTTCCTGTCCCCAGGCACCCTCCCCTGCACCCTCTCACCAGGCAGCAGGTTGGTCCCTTCCTCTCTGTCCCTCTGCCTCTCCCCCTCACTCCAAACACCGGCCCCTGCTGTTCCTCCTGCAGCCCCACGTCTGGGGTAAATCCCTCCCGGGGTGGGGGTCGGGGGGACACTGCCATGGGGGGACAGAGCCCCGCTCGGGGCAGGGCTCACCCTGAAGTTCTCGGGGTCCACGTGCAGCTTGTCGCAGTGCAGCTCGGACAGCTGGGCGAAGGTGTTCTTGATGCTGTCCAGGTTCTTGACGGCGTCCCCGAAGGAGGTGAGCACCTTCTTGCCGTGGGCGCGGACCATGGGGTTGCCGAGGATGGCGGTGGCACCGGACAGGTTCCCGAAGGAGGCGAAGAACCTCTGGGTCCAGGGGTAGACGATCAGCAGCCTGGGGAGAGACACAAGCGGGCACAGGGTCAGGGTCACGCTCCCGTGGTCGGGGTGGTCTCTGTCCGGGCGCGGCGGGGCAGGTTCCCGGGGCTGGACCTACCTGGCCAGGGCCTCGGCGCCGCAGTCGGCGACGTTGACCTTGCCCCAGAGGCCGGTGATGAGCTGCTTCTCTTCGGCTGTCCACTGCACCATGGCGTCGGCTGGAGGGCTGCGTGTGGCGGGGCTGGAGAAGGCTCGGCTCTCGCTCCCGAGGGATCGCAGGCTGGGGACGGCTCTGCCAGCCCCGCTTTTATCCTCTCCGCTGGGCCCCTCCTCCTCCCCGGGCACCCCTTCATTGGCTGCGCCCCGGGGGGGCCCCGCAGCCCTGGCACCCCGAGGGAGGGGACCCCACATCAGGGTGGGGCCCCAGGGCAAGGTGCCCAGATCCAGCGCCGTCCCTGATTTCCAGCCCTGCTGCGGGGTGGCATTATCTCCATGCTGGGTCTGCAGTCCCATGGCAGCCCCCAGGACGGCGTCTGCCGGGCTTGGTGCCCCTCACGTGGTGCAAACCCCCAGGGCAGGAGGCTCGGACATGGGGCTTTTGGGTTCTCCCTCTGAATGTGCCCGTTTCTCTTTCTCCTCTTCTTGCAGGACCTGTCAGGCTTTGGGTTCTCCCTGTTCTTTCCCATCAGCTCTTTAAGAGTTTGAAAACTTTAGGGTGACACTACTAAAATCAGGGCAGGGCCTTGCAGCCAAGAGAGAGCTCCTGTCTCAAAGAGTCTGTTGGGAAAGGTCAACAGGGCTGGAAAGGAGATGTTATAACCCAGGGCACACCAACTGCCTGCAGGGTGTTGGCTCACAGGGCCCCAGGAGAGGTGGGAAGACTGGGTATACTGGGATGTCACAGAATCTCAGGATCACCAAGGCTGGAAAAGCCCTCCCAGCCCATGGATCCCCCCTGTGCCCGATGCCCACCTTGTCCCCAGCCCAGAGCACTGAGTGCCACGGCCAGGCCTTCCTGGGACACCTCCAGGGCTGGGCACTCCAAACCTCCCTGGGCAGCCCCTGCCCGTGCTCCTGGCAGCCTGACCACCCTTCCCGTGAAGGAAAAACATCTGCACAGATGTGGAGCAGGAGACAGTGCCTGAGCCAGAGATTTGGCAGCCTGAGGAGCAGTGCTCCTGCTGAGAGGTGGGAGAGGCAGTCGGGTCTCCAGGACTGCACATCCATCCACTCCTGCTCCAGCTGGGGGTGGAGGGGTGGGATGTTGGTGCTGGGGACGGGGATGGAGCTCGTGGGGTGCAGGAATGTCCCCGTGGGGCCTGGATGGCCATGGAGAAAAGTGTTTGCATGGGCATGAGCTGCTGTCATGTCTAATGAGGGCCCCAGTTCTCCTCTGACTGCTCAACACAAGAGGGGGCCTGGCCCAAGGACCCGGGGATGACACTGTCCCCCAGCCCTCCACACTCAGCAGTGCAGTGTTTCATGGAATCCCAGACTGGTTTGGGTTGGAAGGCACCTTAAAGCCCATCCATCCCACCCCCTGCCATGGGCAGGGACACCTTCCACAGTCCAGGTTGTTCCAAGCCCCGTCCAACCTGGTCTTGATAGTTGTGTTTATTACATTCTGCCCTTGCTAATCTGAGAATGAGAATGATTTAGGCAAAAAAAACCCCACAAACCAAAACCAAACAAACCAGAACAAAAATAACAAAACAAAAAACCCAACAATGCCCCACATTTTTCCTTACATGAAGGAAGTGACAAACAATGGACCCAATCTCCCTGTCCCTTCTCCCACTGCACATTTTGTTCAGTTTTGTTCCACTTTGTGAAAGGCTTAAAAAATTAAACCAAACAATGTTACCCAATGTCTCCCAAAAGCACCAGAGTGTTTCTCTTTGCATTTTGTGGTGTTTATTTGGGTTTTGTCCTGAATGTTCCCCTGGATTCTCCAGCTTAGACAAGTCTCACTTGCATGAATGAGACCCTGGCTCCCGATGCCCCATGTGTGTGATCTTCCCCTCTCCCTTCCCCAGCCCCCGTGCAGCCCCTTCCCTGTTCCCACAGAGAGCCAGACACCTCGTGGCTGAGCAGTTGGTGTTTATTTGGCAGTTAGAGACCAGGAGCATTCCCCAGGAGCGTCTCCAGGCAGGAATGCTGGCGGGGGGCTCAGTGGTACTCGTGGGCCAGGGCGTGGGCCACCACACGGACCATCTTCTGCCAGGCAGCCTGGCAGGCAGGGGTGAAGTCCTTCCCGAAGGTGGAGGCCAGGACAATGATGAGGATGTCACCCAGGAGCTGGCAGGGCAAGGAGGAGAAGCCATCAGCCAGGTGCTGCCCTCCCACCCCTCCCCACTGTCACAGAGTGGGGACACCAGTTACTGAGGAATTCACCACAAATCCCAGCCCCGGGGCACAGATTGTGTCTCTGGCATGCACCAGGATCCCTAGGTGTGCTGGATCCTCCCCAAACACCTTCCCTTGCCTGCTGTGCAGTGTCCTCCCCCTGCTTCCACTGGGTTTATCCCTTCCTTTTCCATCCCTGCCCACCCAGGCTGTCCTTGGGCTCAGATCTCTCCTGCTGAAATGGCTGTGTTTATTTTCCCTCCTGGTTTAACCTCTCCATCACAGCCAAGCTCAGCTCTTCCCTCCAAACTCTGTCTCAGCTTCTTCCCTTCTGCTCTCTGGCTGCTCCAGGATGTTTTTTCCCGCTGGAATGTGTTTGGCTCTGTGTTTGTCCCCACCCCCCTCCCCTGCCTCTCACAGATCCCAGCCCCGTAACTTGTCTCTGTTCTCCCCGAATGTGACTGTTCCTCCCCTTTCATCACCCCTGCCCTCTGCAGACTCCCAGGCTGGGGCAGTCTCAGGGTTTCTCTCAGGTCCCGCTGTCTGTCAGACCCCTCCAGGACCCCACTCCAGGACAGCCCCCTCTGCCCAGCTGAGGCTGGAGCCCAGGCACAGCTCACCCTGAAGTTCTCGGGGTCCACGTGCAGTTTGTCACAGTGGAGTTTGCTCAGCTGAGCGAAACATTTCTTGATGTTGTCGAGGTTCTTGACAGCATCCCCGAAGGAGGTGAGCACCTTCTTGCCGTGGGCACGGACCATGGGGTTGCCAATGACGGCCGTGGGGCTAGAGAGGTTCCCAAAGGAGGCAAAGAACCTCTGGGTCCAGGGGTAGACGATCAGCAGCCTGGGGAGAGACACAAACAGCCATAGAGACATTAATGTTCCTCTGATAGGAGTGGTTTCTGTCTCCAGGTGCCCTGGGCAGGTTCCCAGAGCTGGACCTACCTGGCCAGGGCCTCAGCACCGCAGTCGGTGACGTTGACCTTGCTCCAGGTGCTGGTGATGAGCTGCTTCTCCTCAGCCGTCCAGTTCACCATGGTGCCGAGCAGAGGGGCTGCCTGGGCGTCCCTGCACAATGAGAGAGTGGTGCCAGAGGCTGCCCTGGGCTTCCCTGCACAATGAGAGAGTGGTGCCAGAGGCTGCCCTGGGCTTCCCTGCACAATGAGAGAGTGGTGCCAGAGGCTGCCCTGGGCATTTTTATACACGGCTGGGCCTAATCTCAGTTCCCGGAGCCATTGGTCGGGGCTGGGGGGGAGCGGGGCTGCACAAGGGAAGATAGCGGTTTGGATGGTGTCCAAGGGGAAAAGGGGCCCTTTCCCCCTCTGTCTTTGTGTGGACAAGCATCATCTCACCCCCAGGCTCAGCCCTGAGCACACGTGGAGCTGCTGGTGAGGCCCCGGCCGAGGGTTCCAGAGTGGGAGAGGTGTGTGCCACCCCCAATCCGTGTGCTACCTCCAATCCGTGTGCCACCCCCAATCCGTGTGCCACCTCCAATCCATGTGCCACCCCCAATCCATATGTCACCCCCAATCCATTTGCCACCCCCAATCTATGTGCCACCCCCAATCCATGTGCCACCCCCAATTCATATGTCACCCCCAATCCATGTGCCACCCCCAATCTATGTGCCACCTCCAATCCATGTGCCACCCCCAATCTGTGTGCCACCTCCAATCTGTGTGTCACCCCCAATCCATGTGTCACCCCCAATCCATGTGTCACCTCCAATCCGTGTGCCACCCCCAATCCATGTGCCACCTTCAATCCATGTGCCACCAGCACACGGCTGTGTTGGGTTTTACACCCCCAATCCGTGTGTCACCAGCAACCTGTGTGCCACCCCCAATCCGTGTGCCACCCCCAATCTGTGTGCCACCCCCAATCCGTGTGCCACCCCCAATCTGTGTGTCACCCCCAATCCATGTGTCACCAGCAATCCATGTCCCTGCTGGGCTGTGCACACGGAATCATGGAATCCCTGTGGCCAGGGACCTTAAAGCTCATCCAGCTCCATCCCCTGCCGTGGGCAGGGACACCTTCTGCTATCCCAGGTTGCTCCAAGCCCCTGGCCTTGGACACTTCCAGGATGGGGCTGCCACAGCTTCTCTGGGCAGCCAGAGAACATCTCCAGCAGCTGCTTTAGTGCCACAGGGCAGTTACCAGCTGACAGAGGGAATAAACATGAGTTTAAACTCCCTGCAAAGTCCTTCCAAGGCCTTCTAAGTTTGAAGATTAGTGAACCATGGAGACATCTGAAGGAAACCTGCCCTGTTGGGCCGGCCCAGGGGTTGTTTGCAGGGGTGGGGCAGTGGTTGGTAACGAGCTCCCAGCCAGGCAGACACTGCCCTGAAGGTGCCTCCGAGGATGGCAGGGGGAGCCTGGCCAGGAACATTTGTTCTGAGCAGCTCTGGCTACTTGAGACCTGGCAAAACCCAAAGGCAGGACAGCCCAGACTGTCCCAGCCCTGGGCTCAGCCTGGGGCTTCTCCAGGGGGTCCATCTGCCTCATCCACTTTTATAAGAAAGAGTTAATTTTAAGTATATTTTAAAATCACCTTCTTTATGGCTGGGAGCAGCAGCCTGGCTGGCAGGTTTGGGGATCTGGGGTTGTCTGCTGAGGGAGCAGTCTGGGGACACAGGGTGGGAGGGGAAATGGTCATCACAAGGTGCTGGGCAGGGGCAATTCCTGCAGCTTTTTTCCTGTTTATAGAATCAAAAGGAGATTTCCTCTCCCCCAGAGCACCCGCAGCAGTACCTGGCAGCTTATCCCCAGCTGGTCCCCAGAAAGAAAACTGTCTGCCTGGCATGGATTTCACTATGCTCAGGACTCTGCCCCCAAGCACCCTCCCAGTCAGCTGTTCCCTTTGGTGTGGGTGGAAGATCTTCTAAGTCACAGAATCTTAGAATCATGGAATCCTAGGATCATGGAATGGCTTGTGTTGGAAGGGATCTTCAAGATCATCTCACTCCAGTTCCCTGCCATTGGCAAGGAACCTTCCCCTAGACCAGGTTGCTCAAGTCATGTTTGATGTCTTGGCCACACACTTGCCCTTTTCCATGGACAGGAGCCTTCCTTTTTAGAGACAAACCATCCCAGTGATGTCCAAAGGCAGCCCCAGTGATGGCCTTTCTGCACAAGCAGAGTTTATTGTCCCTGATTGCAGCAGGAGTGTCCCACGCCAAGCTTTACAGAGCCCTTATCAGCAGCAGTGGCATCTGTGCCCAGGCTCTGGAGCCAGGCCAGCCCCTGCTCCCCCTGGAACGTGCAGTGCCTGCTGTCCAAAGCCAGCAGGTCTCCAGGGTGTCTTTGTTCCCACTCCAAAATCCCAGAATAGTTTGGGTGGGAAGGGACCTTAAAGCCCACCCAGTGCCACCCCTGCCCTGGGCAGGGACACCTTCCACCAGCCCAGGTTGCTCCAAGCCCCGTCCAACCTGGCCTGGGACACTTCCAGGGATCCAGGGGCAGCCAGAGCATGCAATGCTTTCCTCTACCCCCCACTTTGGGGTCAGGTGGGCTGTTGGTGGTTGTAACTTTGCTGTCTCACACCAGAGAGGGACAACTCTCACTGGCTCTGTGACACCAGCACCTCACCCTGCCCTTGTCTGTACCCCAGTCCAGGCCAACAGGACCATCCCAGCGCTGGCCAGGGAGCAGGACACGCTCCACATGGATGTGTCCATAGGGGAGGAGCACAGAGTGATGAGGACACTCACAGACACTGGGACAAGCACACACACTGATGTTCACAGACACCAGGACAAGCACACACAGTGATGTTCACAGACACCAAGACAAGCACACACACTGATGTTCACAGACACCAGAACAAGCACACACACTGATGTTCACAGACATTGGGACAGGCACACACACTGATGTTCACAGACACCAGGACAAGCACAGAGTGATGAGGACATTCACAGACACTGGGACAAGCACACACAGTGATGTTCACAGACATTGGGACAGGCACACACACTGATGTTCACAGACACCAAGACAAGCACACACAGTGATGTCCAGTCACTGCACACGGGGGGGGCTGGTTTGTGATCATGCTGTGAGCGACCCAACAGCTCTGGGGGTGCTGCTGGGTGCACCCACCATCATTTTGTGTGTGTGGTGGCAAATTCCAAGGGTTTGGGCTGGAACAAGATGTTGAGAAAGGTCTCACCCCCTGGAATCACACTGAAATGCCCATTACTGGCTGGAAGGAGAGGCTGTGCTGCAGGGAAGCTGGATGCAGTTCTTTGGGTCTTTTTCTATTTCTTTTCCCCCAGCCCAGAACGTTCTCAGTGCTGCCAGAGAGCCTGGACCCTCTGCCTGCCTGGCTGTGCAGGATAGAGTGGTTGTAAGTTCCCTGCTTTATCAGGAGAAGGACAGAAAATGTATTCCTAAATCATGCAAAACAAGGGTTCCATCATCTTGAGACACCAGCATGTCTCTCCTCTTGCTTTTTAAGTTATTCCTGAAAAAGCACTGCTGAAACTGAGGTGCTTAATGGAATCTTCCCATTCCAGTGAAAAAACATGCTTCCATTGAGCCAAAATGACTGAAAAAAGGCTCTGATCCATCCTGCCTGAAAGCTGCCCTCATCCCTCATCCCCTCCCCTGGGGATCAAGCAGATATTTCAGACACTGAACTCTGATCAAAATGCACAAAGTAATGGGGGGTGTTTTCAGTGCTGATGCAGAAAATGCCTTTGATCAACTACTTAAAAATACATCGGTACCAAAACACAGAGGGGCAAATTCCTGCCTACCCAGTGAACCTCTACACATTTAAATCCTTGTGTGGGGCCAAACTTCTGCCTAATCAGTGAATCTCTACACATTTATATCCTTTCAGGCATCACAGGCAGAGAAGTTTAGGGCCAGAGGAGTCCCTGCTTGCCCTGCACTTTGCCTTCTACAGAGAACAGGGCTAAATCCCCCCCCCCCAGGGGTTTCAGCAGGCTCAGGTGTACTGGGTGACCTGGGACTGGGTGGGCTGGGCTTTGCCCATGGCTGGATTTCAGATCAGCATCCCCTGATGTCCCACTGGAGCTCTGTATGGGAGGGACACCCCAGCCTTGCTCTGTGTGTGCAGGTCTGGGACCAGCAGGGAAGGGTGGCAGCAGCAGCTGATGGCTCAGAGAGCCCAGAGAGGCAGGAGGAGCAGCCTGGTTCCCTCTGCCCAGCCTGGTTCCCTCTGCCCAGCTCCCTCTGCCCAGCTCCCTCTGCCCA